CCCCCCCCCCCCCCAAATAAATGCCAAAAGGCAAAATGGATGTCTGAGGAGGCCTTACAAATAGCTCTGAAAAGAAGAGAAGTGAAAGGCAAAGGAGAAAAAGAAAGGTATACCCATTTGAATGCAGAGTTCCAAAGAAGAGCCAGGAGAGATAAGAAAGCCTTTTTCAGTGATCAGTGCAAAGAAATAGAGGAAAACAATAGAATGGGAAAGATTAGAGATCTCTACAAGAAAATCAGAGATACCAAGGGAATATTTCATGAAGAGATGGCACAATAAAGGACAGGAATGGTAGGGACCCAACAGAAGGAGAAGGAAGATATTAAGAAGAGACAGCAAGAATACACAGAACTGTACAAAAAAGATCTTCATGACCCAGATAATCACTATAGTGTGATCACTCACCTAGAGCCAGACATCCTGGAATGTGAAATCAAGTGGGCCTTAGGAAGCATCACTATGAACAAAGCTAGTGAAGGTGATGAAATCCAGTTGAGCTATTTCAAATCTTAAAAGATGATGCTGTGAAAGTCCTGCACTCAATGTACCAGCCAACTTATAAAACTTAGGAGTGACCACAAGACTGGAAAAGGCCAGTTTTCATTCCAATCCCAAAGAAAGACAATGCCAAAGAATGCTCAAAATATGGTACAACTGCACTCATCTCACATGCTGGCAAAGTAATGCTCAAAATTCTCCAAGCCGGGCTTCAACAGAGCATGAACCATGAACTTCCGGATGTTCAAGCTGGATTTCGAAAAGGCAGAGGAACCAGAGATGAAATTGCCAACAACCATTGGATCATCGAAAAAGCAAGAGAATTTCAGAAAAACATTTACTTCTGCTTTATTGATTATGCCAAAACTTTAGACTATGTGTATTACAACAAAGTGTGAAAGATTCTTCACAAATGGGAATACCAGACCACCTGACCTGCCTCCTGAGAAATCTGTGTGCAGGTTAGCAAGCAACAGTTATAACTGGACATGGAATAACAGACTGGTTCCAAATAGGAAAAGGAGTTTGTCAAGGCTGTATATTGTCACCCTGCTTATTTAACTTATATGCAGAGAACATCATGAGAAATCCTGGACTGGATGAAGCACAAGCTGGAATCGAGATTGCTGGGAGAAATTTCAATAACCTCAGATATGCAGATGACACCACCCTTATGGGAGAAAGTGAAGAAGAACTAAAGAACCTCTTGATGAAAGTGAAAGAGGAGAGTGAAAAAGTTGGCTTAAAAGTCAACCTTCGGAAAACTAAGATCATGGCATCTGGTCCCATCACTTCATCGCAAGTAGATGGGGAAACAGTGGAAACAGTGGCTGACTTTATATTTTTGGGCTCCAAAATCACTGTAGATGGTGAGTGCAGCCATGAAATTCAAAGACGCTTGCTCCTTGAAAGAAAAGAAAGAAAAGAAAAGAAGAGAAGAATACCTAGACAGCATATTAAAAAGCAGAGACATTACTTTGCTTACAAAGGTCCGTCTAGTCAAAACTATGGTTTTTCATGTATGTATGGGTGTGCAAGTTCGACTATAGAGTAGTCATGTGTGGATGTAAGAATTGGACTAAAAAGAAAGCTGAGAGCTGAAAAATTGATGCTTTTGAACTGTGGTGTTGGAGAAGACTCTTGAGAGTCCCTTGGACAGCATTGAGATCCAACCACTCCATCCTAAAGGAAATCAGTCCTGACTATCCATTGGAAGGACTGATGCTAAAGGTGAAACTCCAATACTTGGGCCACCTGATGTGAGGAAGTGACTCATTGGAAAAGACCCTGATGCTGGGAATGATTGAAGGCGGGAGGAGAAAGGGACAACAGAGGATGAGAAGTTTAGATGGCATCAAGGACTCCATGGACATAAGATTGAGCAAACTCCAGGAGTTGGTGGTGGACAGGGAGGCCTGGCATGCTACAGTCCACGGGGTCACAAAGAGTCAGATATTACTGAACGACTTAACTGATGGTTTGGGTAGAGGAATTCATATGGTTAAAGCTAGACTCAAGGCAAAGATAGGTTCAAGGATAAGTACAGAAACTGAGGATGTGGCTGGTCATAGGGCTTCTTTAATAAATAGTTTGACTGCATCACCAATAGTTTGGAGTAGGCTGTATGGCCCTACAACATTTGGGCCTTTTCAGAATTGTGTATAGCCTAGAACTTTTCATTCTACTAGTGTTAAGAATGCTATAGCTAGGAGGATGGGCATAATAACTATTAGAATATTATGAACAGTTTGTTAAGGATAGGATTTAAATCTCCGATCATACAGGTTCAAGTTTTATGCAGTTATCAGGTTCTGCCACCTTAAATAAATCCTGTTTTGGGGTGGAAATTTTTACTTATCCATTAAGATAAAATTATTCATTATCTTAAGGCACTTATTTAAAGCTGGCCTTATTCGTCTTGTCCTTTCCTACTGGGAAAATTGTATAATAGATGGAAACAGACCTGAATGACTCTGGTCTGAACTCAGATCATGTAGAACTTTAATTGTTGAGCAAAACAAACCTCTGATACTGGTCCCAAAATTGAGATGTCCTGATCCAACATCAAGGTTGTAAACACTGTTGTTAATATGAACTCTAAAATGGGACTGTGCTATTATCCCTAGGGTTACTTGTTTCATTGATCAATTTCTTGGATCAGTAAGTGATAATTTGATTTGACTGGGAGGTCTTGGCGTTAAAAGTCACTTGGAGGATCTTTTGTTCTCCAAGGTCACCCCAATCAAAATCATTAGCTCATTAAAAGTTCTGTTATCCCTTAATGGTTTAATTTTATTTGGGGGGCTAATTAATTAAAATTCCATAGGGTCTTCTTGTCTCATTGGTTTTTTCCCCTGACTTCTTGGGAAGGTCAGTTTCACTGATGAGAAGTAAGAGTAAAACCCTTGTGTGGCCATTTATACAAGTCCTTACTTAGAGAACCAATGATTTGCCTACATTTGCACAGTCAGGATACCACAGCTTTTTAACGATTGTCACTGGGCATGCAGTGCCTCTAATACTAGTGATGCTAAAGATGATGTTTTTGGTAAACAGGCAGGGTTTATGTTTGCTAAGTTTTTTTCCTCTTTTAATCTTTGCTTGAGTGAATGCCTCTGTTGAGTTAACAGTGCAATTAATAACCTAATAATAGATTATTTTTATTTACTGTTCACCATCAAGGAGTAATACTAGTTGCTGACACAAACTCATGCAAGGAGTCTTAGGGAGCTTTATTGTTTTCCTTTTCAGGTTTACAAGACCAGAAGCATGGATATACTACAAAGACCTCGCTTCATTTTAGATTATTTTAGGTAATGGTAGTTACTGGCATTGATAGTAGGATAAGGAAAAACATATAATAGATGCTTGTTGTCCAGTGATGATAAAGGGATGTTCTACTGGTTGTCCTCCAATTCAAGCGAGTGTTAAGAGGTTCACTACTAGAAATCAGAATAGGCACTGGCTGAATGGTCAGAATGTCATGCTTTGTTGTTTGCATGTATGAAGTAATGGCATTAATACTAAGATTAGGATAGCAAAGATTTGGGCTAAAATTCTGCCTAGTTTGTTAGGGCTTGATCATAGGACTGCATATGTGAATAAGAAGTACCATTCTGGCTTGATGTGTGAAGGTGTGTTGAGAGGTTTGCCGGGGTGTAGCTATCTGGGTCTCCTAGTAGGTCAGGTGAAAATAGGACTAGTATTTTTAACCCCAGAACTAGTAGCAAGGCACCCAAGATGTCTTTAAATGTATAATATAGATAAAATGGGATCTTGTCTATATCAGATGAAATTCCCACTGAGTTATTTGATCCTGTTTCATGGAGAGATAGTAAGTGGACTATAGTAAGTGCTGCAATATATGAGCTTGTAGAGAAGGGGAAACAACCATGTTACTAGTTGGTCATAATTAATTATTACAGAAATTACTTGAGCAAATTTAAATTATGCTGATGAATAAGGTGATAAGGAAAGAAGAAATACAGTGTGTTAGCCCCTTTTGAGCTGATACTAAGATAGACATTTTTATTTGATTGACGGAGGTGGTTTTTGGCAAAATATCCTCTCATCAGATTCAGTCTAGAAGGGGGATGCTGACTTTTGGCTGGTTAAGTTTAGATAAGGGGTCAGGCAGTGTATGATAGTGGAAAAGTATCCTTGAATACATTTGAATAGTTGAACTTCAGGTTTTGTGTTATTGCTAGTTGTGAGTGCCAAGATGAAGCCTAGAATATTCAGGGCCAGGGCAGTTATTCTGAGATAGTAAGGTATGGTTATTTGTGGAACTGCTGTTGGGGAATATTGTTGGAGATTATAAAGCCAGCAAAGATACTTCCAACTAGTAGGCATTTAATTGATTAGGAGGGGGTTGTTCTTGCTAATGATAATCAGAGTAGAAAATTGAGGCCTTCCTAGTAGCATGAAGAAGACAGTGAGGATGCTGGAGACGGCTGTGAGTGAGGTGGCAGTTTGTGGAGGGGATCAGGCATTGGTGTAAGGCATATTCACAGTTTCAATATTTAGGTCTTTAGAGTAGAATCCAGTGAGGAAAGGCATTCCTGTCAATGCTAAGCTGCCAATGGTAAGGGCGGTTGTAGTAAAAGGCATAGCTTTAAACAGACCTCCTATTGTTTGAATATCTTGTTCATCATTTAGGTTGTGAATAATCTGGATTACATAAATAGAATGGCTTTGGAAAAGGCAAGAGCAGTTTTTTGGAGAAAGAGGAATGCTGGGTAGAGTTGGTTGATGCCAGTTGTTACTATCATGAGGCCTAATTGACTGGAGGTGCAGAAAGCAATGATTTTTTTTTTTTTTTATATCATCCTGGGTAATGGCACATATTGCTATAAGTGTTGTGAAAACCTCTAGGCATAATGTAATTGATGGGGTACATTTATAGCTTTGTGTCAGAGACTAGAAGTGGATGAGTAGGAACATATCTGCTACTACTACTGTGCTTGAGTGGAGTAGGGTTGAGACTGATGTGGGCCCTCTATTGCTGAGGGTAATTATGGGTTTGTCCAAATTGGCAAATTTTCCTGTTGCAGCTAATTCTAAACCTAACATAGGTAAATTTGAATTAAGTTGAGCAAGAGAGTTCCAGAAAAACATCTTTTCCTGCTTTATTGACTATACCAAAGCCTTTGACTGTGTGGATCACAATAAACTGTGAAAAATTCTGAAAGAGATGGGAATACAAGACCACCTGACCTGCCTCTTGAGAAACCTGTATGCAGGTCAGGAAGCAACTGTTAGAACTGGACTTGGAACAACAGACTGGCTCCAAATAGGAAAAGAATATGTCAAGGCTGTATATTGTCACCCTGCTTATTTAAATTATATGCAGAGTACATCATGAGAAATGCTGGGCTGGAGGAAGTACAAACTGGAATCAAGATTACCGGGAGAAATATCAATAACCTCAGATGTGCGGATGACACCACCCTTAGTAAGAAAGTGAAGTAGAACTAAATAGCCTCTTGATGAAAGTGAAAGAGGAGAGTGAAAAAGTTGCCTTAAATCTCAACATTCAGGAGACTAAGAGCATGGCACCTGGTCCTATCACTTCTTGGCAAATAGTTGGGGAAACAGTGGAAACAGGGTCCAAAATCACTGCAGATGGTGATTGCAGCCATGAAATTAAAAGACGCTTGCTCCTTGGAAGGAAAGTTATGTGCAACCAAGACAGTATATTAAAAAGCAGAGACATTACTTTGCCAACAAAATTCCGTCTAGTCAAGGCTATCGTTTTCTCAGTAGTCATGTATGGATGTGAGAGTTGGAGTATAAAGAAAGCTGAGTGCCAAAGAATGGATGCTTTTGAACTGTGGTGTTGGAGAACACACTTGAAGAGTCCCTTGGACTGCAAGGAGATCCAACCAGTCCATCTTAAAGGAGATCAGTCCTGGATGTTCATTGGAAGGGCTGATGTTGAAACTGAAACTCCAATACTTTGGCCACCTGATGCAAAGAGCTGACTCATTGGAAAAGACCCTGATGCTGAGAGGGATTTGGGGCAGGAGGAGAAGGGGATGGCACAGGATGAGCTGGTTGGATGGCATCACCAACTCAATGGACATGAGTTAGGGTAAACTCCGGGAACAGGTGATGGACGAGGATGCCTGGCATCCTGAGGTTCATGGGGTTGCAAAAAGTTGGACACGACTGAGCAACTGAACTGAGCTGAGGAAAAAAATTTGTTGTAAGTGTCATGTATTGAAGTTAAGTAAGAATCATGCTGTTGTTTTGATAAAACCTGTATCAGCATAGGGTTTGGAGAAGGCAAAGGCACCCAACTCTAGTACTCTTGCCTGGAAAATCCCATGAATGGAGGAGCCTGGTAGACTCTGGTTAGTGGGGTCGAAAATAATCAGACACGGCAGAGTGACTTCACTTTCACTTTTCACTTTCATGCATTGGAGAAAGAAATGGCAACCCATTCCAGTGTTCTTGCCTGGAACATCCCATGGACTGAGGGGCCTGGTGGGCTACAGTTCATGGGGTTGCAAAGAGTCAGACACAGCTGAGCGACTGAGGTGTTATACAAAATTACCTGTAGTGCTGCTGTGTTTGCATCCGCCGCCCACACCATCATCCAATGAGCAGGAAGGATATACTCCCTACTCCTTCTCAGCCAGTAAGTAATTGGAAGAGATTATTACTGGTAACAAGAATTAGTATTATAATAGGGAAAAGGAGTGTTTGAAGAATCAGTTAATGTTGGGGTCTGAGTGAATGGATTGAGAAGTCTGTAACTGATCACATGACAAATAGGGCCACCAGCACACATTATTGAGAAGTAATCTATTTTAGAACTGAATGATAGCTTAAGGGTTTTAGTGTGATTCAGTGCCAGTTTGAGATAATTATCTCTTGGCCGGTATACATAAATATTATTGTTGGAACTAAGTTAATGGTGAAGGCATATGAGATAATCTTACATATAGAGGGTATGTGGTGGTTTTATAAATGTTAGTGCTTGTTATTATGATAGATATACATAGTGAGGATAGAGTGAAAGAGGAAATTTAATTTATTACTTTTATTTGGGGTTGCACGAATTATTTGATTCCTAACACCAATGGATAGAAGTTTGAAAAAGCCATGCTGTTAGTCATGGGAGTATAGAATCAGGAATTCTTATATACTTCTGTGGTAAATAAGAAGGTATTGTCTTCTCTTACTAGATTCACAATCAAGTGTTTTTTTTCTAAGCTATATATACAGTATAGGGGGCCTAGAAAGATTTTTGGGTTTAAGGATAGGAGTAGAAGTGGTAGGATGGGTAATGATATGAGAGCATTTTCTCATGTAAAAGACAGAGAGATACTGTTTATGTGGTGTGTGTATTTGCCTCACTGTGTTGCAATGAGTATATATAAAGAGTACAGGGCAGCAACTACTATATGAATTCCTATTAAAATAATTGCAATATTTGATCATGAGAAGGATATTACTACAAATAGCTCTCCAATCAAGTTAATAGTTGGGGGTGGAGCTAGGTTTGTTTAACTTGCTGGTAATCATCAGGTTGCTATTAGTAGGAGGAACATTTGTAGGATTTCGGCTAGGATTATTGTTTGGCAATGGACCTGGTAATTTGAATTTGCAGGCAGAACAATACAGAGGATGTAAGACTATGGGCAATTATTAGGGCTGTGGCTCCTATACAACTTCAAGGTGTTTGGGTAAGGATAGCAAAGTGCTATGTGGCTGACAGAAGAGTATGCAGTGAGTGATTTTAGGTCTGTCTGGCATAAGGAAATTGAGCTGGTTATAATTATGCCTCATAAGGACAATAGAATGAGTGGATAACCTATGAACTCTGTTAGTGGGTTTCAAATTATTGTAATTTGTAATTTGTAGTATACCATAGCATCCAAAGTTTAGTAGTGCTGGCAGTATAGCCAGAATTATGAAGCCTGCAATAGGGGCCTCTTCATGTGCTTTAGGTAGTCAAAGGTAGAGGCCATAAAATGGTATTTTTACTATAAAGGCAATTATGCATATTAACGATAAGAAACCTTTGGATCAAGAGGTGGATACTGATTGGGCTCAGCATTAGAATATTTAATGGTCCTACTGTATTTTGAATGGAGACAAGTATTCCTAAGAGGGGGAGAGAACTTACTAGGGTATAAAATAAATAGAGACCTGCATTAACGTGTTCTGCTTAATTTCCTCTTTGGGTAATGATAATGAGTATTGAAACTAGTGTTGCTCCAAATAGGATATATAAAAGAATTAATTTTATGGCAGTAAATGTTATAATTAAAGTAATTATAGTATGACTAGCAGTGATAATATTTTTTTTCTGGTAGAGATTCTTTTAATACATGATGTTGATGGTTAGTATAAGGGGTCATAATCATGTAGTTAAAATCAGTGGTGGTGTCCATAGGGAGTGGGAGAAAACTAATGAGAAATTGATGCTGTTATCATTGATTAAGGAGGAGTAGGCTTGTGAGTCTAATTAGTAGGCTATGCGTGGTGGTGGTAATTGAGACTAACCTGATGATCAGGTTAGTGATATTGTTGCTGACCAAAATCTTGGCCTTTTCTCCCCACTGAAGCTGAATAAAAGAACATGGAGACTGAGTCTGGAGGAAATTGAAAGCTGGCTTCAATTCCCAGCCAGCAGAGAGGGGAACCCAGCAGGCTCATGCCTCAAGATCTGTGCCTGCCCCCCTTGAGGAGTCTAGGGGCTCATAGAAGGAAGGGCTCACAGTCAGGAGGCAGTATGATAAAC